GCTGTTAGCACCACATACATTAGGACCACTGTCACCTGTGAGTTACTATCACCAGTGGTCTAACTCCAGCTGCAGAACCCAAATTCAGTCACTTTAATCTCTCCAGTTTCTGGCATCTAGACATTACAGCATTAACAGCTAGGGATAGAGTGAGATTACATGGAAAGAGAGTTAATAAAAGATTTAATAAGAATTGATAGGTGATAGTCATTCAGTGCAAGGGCTCAGTTAGAGAAGTGTACTAAGCAGCAACTGCTCACATACTACCAGCTTGTTTTATACCTCATTCCTGTCTATACCCACCTTCTACTTGTTTCACCCAGATCCCCTTCCTCTAAAGATTCTATAATAAGTCTAAGGGTGCAAATTCTCATATGAACTGGAGTATTCAACCATAAGAATAATGGCATACCTAATGTTATCTGTTTGTTACCAAGTTATATTAAAAATGTTCTTTCAGAAAAGAGTAGAGAGTTTTGAGAGCTCAGTAAATGAAATAAAACAATCCATAAAAATAAAAATACATAACTGTCATGAGCATACACATTAGTTCACTATATCCATTCTGTTATTGTAATCACAACAACTTGGACAAAGCAACCTCATCCAAAATAGTTGTAAATAATAGCTACAAATATAAAACAACACCATTAAAATCTTACTTACATCTCATCCATTTACAGGTATTCTCTGGAAGGAAACAGGAGACCTGGTCATGAGGGATATGGAGAAGGGTGAGGTACACAACAAGTTCCTTGCCTCAGTCTTCTAACTACACTGCCCAAGTTGCAGAAGGCAAAGGCAGGGACTGGGGGAAAGATGTGCCCACTGTAAGTGAAGATGAGGCTTGAGACTATCTAAAGAACCTTAAGGTATACAAGTCCATAGGACCCAATTAGATTAATCCACAGGTCCTAAGGGAATTTGCAGATGAAGCTGTCTTCTGCTAACCACTTGCCTAACATAGAAAGATATTATCATTAACAGGCAGACCAAAAGCCAGATCCCTCTCTCCAATCTTAAGTCATATATAAATGATCCAAGGTACAAAACCACTGGAGGAAGGAATAAATAAACAAATTCACTCACAGCATATTGTGTTAAGAAATGAACAAGCTGACTCATGAACCAAGCTGCAGGAGATGGAATCAGCCAGGCCAGAGGGAGTCTTATGATATCACCCCACCATCCTGGGAACGTCACATGCTATGAGCAGTCATGGAGCCTTTAAAATAACTACAATCCCCATACAACACATCTGCTACACAGTCAAGCCTACCAACCCCTGTCCAAGGGGAATCAGTTCTTATATAGGTGGTTTCTTGCCCCATCTCCAAGTTAATGTGGAAGGCAGGGGCACCTGGTGGTGATCTCCTAATCAGTTCCCACCCAAGGCTGACCAGACCCTGGGTGAAAAGCCATCAGGAGGGTCTTTCTTGCCTGGTTGTGGACATCATCCTTATGCAAACCCTCAGTCAGGGCTGCGGGTTTAACCCCAGCAGTTCAAATTGCTAACCAACTTTCCATCGTATTTGAAAAGTCATGGCAGTCTGGTGAAGTTCCTTCCCACTGACTGGAAAATGGGAAACATAACCCTCAATTTCAAAAAGGGAAAAAAGACAGACCCAGGCAACTACAGGCCAGCCAGTCTCACCTCTGTGCCTGGCAAGATTATGGAGCAGATCCTCCTGAAGGCTCTGCTAAGGCACATGGAAAATGATAAGCTGACTGATGGTCACCAATATGACTTCACTAAAGGGCAAACACTGCCTGACAAATCTGTAGCCTTTTATGGTGGAGTTACAGTATGGTGGATAAGGAAAGAGCAGCCAGCATCATCTACTTGGACTTGTGCAAAGCATTTGACACTGTCTTGCACAACTTTATGGTCTCTAAATTGGAAAGACATGGATTTCATAGATGTACCGCTCAGTGGATAAAGAATTGGCTGGATGGGCCCATGCAAAGAGATTCAGTCAAGAGCTCAATGACTAAGTGGGGACCAGTGACGAGTGGTATTCTGTGGGGATCAGTATCAGGACCAGTGCTTGCTTACTATTTTCCTTGGTGACATGGACAGTGAAATTGAGTGCACCCTCAGCAAGTCTGTGGACAACACCAAGCTGTGTGGTGCTGTTGACACACTGGGGGCAATGGATGCTATCCAGAGGGACCTTGCCATGTTTGAGAGGTCGGCCCTTGTCAACCTCATGAAGTTCAACAAGGCCAGGTCAGGGCAATCCCAAGCATAAATATAGGCTGGATGGAGTATGGATTGAGAGAAGTCCTGAGCAGAAAGACTTGGGGGTGCTGGTTGATGAAAAATTCAACAGGAGCCAACACTGTCAAAGTGCAACCCAGAAATCCAACTGTATCCCAGGTGGCATCAAAAGAAGAATGGCCAGTAGGCTGAGGCAGGTGATTCTTCCCTGCTACTCCACTCTTGTGAGACCGCACCTGAGGTACTGCATTGAGCTCTGGAGCCCCTAACAGAAGAAGGCCATGGACCTGTTGGAGTGGGTCCAGAGGAGGCCCAGGAAGATGATTAGAAGGCTGGAACACCTCTCTTACAAGGCCATGTTGAGGGAATTCAGCTTGGAGAAGAGAAGGCTCTGGGAAGACCTTGTTGTTTCCTCTCAGTATCTGAAGGGGGCCTGCAAGAAAGTTGGAGAGGGACTTTTTACGAGGGCTTGTAGTGATAGGACAAAGGGTAATGGGTTCAAGCTAGAAAAGGCTAGGTTTACATTAGATATAAGGAAGAAGTTCTTCCCTAGGAGGGTGGTGAGACATTGGAACAGTTACCCAGGGAAGTTGTGAATGCCCCCTCACTGGAGGTGTTCAAGACAAGGATAGATGTGGCGTTGCACAGCCTGGTCTAGTGGGAGGTGTCTCTGCCCATGACAGGGAGTTTGCAACTAGATGATCTTTATAGCTCCTTCCAACCCAAACCATTCTAGGATTCTGTGATTCTGTGATTTAATACTTAGATTCAGATCATGTGAACTAGCTGCTTAATAGAGCCTGTGTCTTATGCCACTTTGGAAAAAAGGTATGTCAAAGTTTATAGAATCTTAAACATAATTTTCAGAATCTTGGTATTGTGTTTTTGTTTTCTGTGCACAAGTTTAATGTTAAAACAGGAATGTTTTTAATAGCATTTGAGATAAAAGATTTATAATGTATGTTTTCACATGGGCTGGGGTTTTTTTTAGGTAAATATTCTAAGTGCCAGCAAAGTATTTTACACAGGATCACAGGAAAAAATGTAGACTTAAACCAACCACATTTGGTCAGAAGACAATTGCAAAATTATATTGTATTTTAGTCAGTCTATCCTGTTGCAAGGTATGCTGATGTGCTACATAATTTCCTGTTATAGCAGGACCTGAGGCAACTGATAAGAGAGCAGGAATAAAGAGGTTGATTCCCTAGTCTACCTTCTCCTCCCATTATACTTAAAAACAGTAACTGATTCTCTATTTTCTTTTAGCTAACTGGAGAATAAACAGAGAGCTAATTCACACCCATAGTCTTTTCTCCATCACAACACTTAGCTCTGTGGAGAGTAGATTGCAGGGACTGCTGTCATCCATCACAGTTGAGTGTATTGAACTGTTTTCATGTCATTATGGGTTTGGTTTCATTGTATCTGTATGGGTGTTCCCCCTGTCTTCTGCCCTCCTCTCCCTCACTAGGTCAAAATTGCAAGGGTACAAAAGATTTTTTTTTTTTTTTTTTTAAATTTCCAAAGCAATGTGCCCACACAATTTGGATGAAAGGAAAAAGAGTAAGTGGTGTTAAAAGATATAGATGATGCATGATGGAAAAGCTAGTTTTAGGAAACTTTGCTAATGGAATTTCCTCTTCTGAAAAAAAAAATAAAAGATTTTTTTTTTCAGTTTTCTCAGAATGCACTGACCATAATGCTTCCAGAGTGAAGGAAAGGAAGAAAAAGGTGAGTAATAAAAACCAGATTTACCAGGAATTTGGAATTAAGCATGTCTATCCCATTTTAAAAGTTATATTTCTACACAGACTTAACTAAAATGTCAACAGGAAAGATCAGTCACTCACTACGAAAATAAAAGACTGGTTCTTCAATTCTTCTAACTCCCTTACACTTTTTTTTTCCTTGCTTTGGTTTTCTTTTAACTCTACATCTCAATGTAATGATTTGTTTATATTCTATGCCTGTCAAAGATAACTGATGCTTCCCATAAAGGGACAATTTTAAAAGTTTTACTGTCCTTGAAAATTCAAGTGCTAGCTTTATACTTAGCTCATTCTTAAAGAATGGTCTTCCGAGTATTGCTACTTCTCTCATACCAACACAGTAAATCTCTGCTGTGAAGTACAAGAATGAGCCGTGGTTTAAGTTTAGTTTCTATCCTGAACCTAAAGAAATAGTGTTTACAATAGGATGACTTTAGATACATTTTCTGATTCAATCATTTCTCATGGAAGAATCTTATTCATCCACTATATCATAAGTAAACCTGTTAGTTTCTGAGAGTTAAATCAACACATACCACTAAATCGTGAAAGTATCGACTCTCTAAATTATTTCCATATTATTTTTCTAGCACTCCTATTAAGAGGATGCTGAAATTATGAATACAACTGTCATGGTAATTCCAACTCATCCAGCAAGAGATTCTGATCCTTATTGTGAACTCTGTACTTGAGAACCAGTGAGTTAGTGATTATGAGTCTTCCCTTGTGATACTGCCAATAGGAGAAAAGTACTCATGGATGGGATCCAATTATGAAAAGCCTCTATCATTTATATGGTTTTATTTTAGCACATAGGTATTTTAGTCTAGTCATGTGGAAGTCTAATTTCTTTACTTTACAAAACCTATTAAAAAAAAATAATCTGAGGAAATTGCAAACTGTGCAACAATCGTCTAAAATAACTGTTTTAATAAAGCAAAAGTTTACGCTATCATTATAACACAGGAAAACATTATTATAAAACAGGAAACATTCGTGTTTCTTACCTGTAAAGCCCTTGTCACATTCACAAAGAAAAGTGTTTGGAGTAACGTTGCTGCAGTTACCATTGAAACAAGTATGTGGCTGGCACTGTCCAACTACTTCTGTACATTTTTTACCTATTTAGAAGGGATAACAGTAACATTGAACTTTAGTAAATATTTACTTTTTTTCCTGAAATGTCTAACTTATGTGTAAAGTCAAACTCTATGTTTTATAGGTAGGTGGATGGATAGACAGGTATTTGTGCTACTGTTGTTCTCTACCTTTCACCAAAATTACTGAAGTTCTAAAGCAAAGCGAAAAGATATTAAGCTGCTGTAAAATGATCTGCTGTGGTCAGCCTCATCTGCCATGTGGTTACAAATTCACATATAGGTTAAAATGCAGAAATGTTATTAGTACCATAGTATTTCTTTTTGATCTAGCTTACAGTTTCTTCCAGCATTGTGAACAAAACATGTTCTTGTGCGGAGCCTAATTTGAATTTTTCTTAATATGCAATATTCTTCTTTCTGAAAATTACAATTCAAATTATAAGTTGTTTATGATATTGGAGCATATAAGTCTAAATACCATGTTATTATGTTTACTACTTGAATTGTTGCTATGACATTATTCACACTTCAACAACTTTTCAAATTTCTAATAGACTTATTATGGGAGGTATTTTTTTCTTTCCTTACTCTTTCACATCCACATCCATAATATATGATGGTTTAATCTCCTAGTTCTTCTTGTGTACAAATAGGTTATCTACTGGATCAGTATTGTCAGTACAAAATTATAACATTAGCCAACACTGTCTTATATAGGCTGAAAATATTTTAAGCATTGCTTGTTGATAACATTAAGCATGTTGATTGCTTTTAACAGACTTGCTTGTGAATCTCTCAATTAATTTGAAGTGTAGTACCACACCCTTTTTAATATTATTTTCAAAGCATTTTACAAAGCCTCTAGAAATCATAAAATAGAAAACATACTTCATACTACCAATGTTTTCCACTATTTTACTAAATTTTGAGTATTACAAAGTATTTTTCTCATATTGACTTATTCATACGTGCATAATCTATTTGCAGATGCATTAGTAACCAAATTATTATGCAGTTATTGAAAAGCAATTAAAAATAAATTACAGTAAACTTTATGCAACATAACCTTCATTTCTGTGTTCTATGAACCTCACTCATTCCTGACTCATCGGCTGCATTTCGTAGCATAGGATTGCTATTGTGAGAGCAGAGAAGTACAGTCCATCGAAGAAACATTGCTAGAATTCACAAGTACAGAAAGAGCTACAACACTTTTTGTGATTTGAATGGCTATTCCTGGTACTTTCTAAAGGATTCCAGAATCGTATTGGTCTGAATTCAGGAACAATATGCCCATAATTTCTTTCATTCCCTTTTATTCCTCCATGAAATGGAGATAATGGCTAAGTAAGAATGTATCTAATCATGTACTCTCTGTGGTCCAATCCCAAATCCAGGTACAGATTCTCCAATGGGTTTTGGGTTAGTACTGCAACATTTCCCAGATAGATTTAGGTGATTTTTTTTCATCTGTGAAATATCTAACTCAGTGGTAACTTTGTGTTTGGCAAACTCCTTTTGAAAGGAGCTTTACAGCACAAAACAATCTGGAAGAAATTGCTTATTGTTCTAATTCAATGTTTGATTTTTCAATTAAAAGCAAATTTTGATTTAAAAAGTTTCTCTAATGTAATTTAAAAGATCTTTAAACTGAAAAGGGAGGTTTGTGGTAGGTTGAATGAAATGTTCATGTCAACGAAACTATTTGCTGTTTTTCAACCATTTACTTAACTATTTTTGGGGGAGATTACATTAGATCATAACAGATTTCTGTTATGTGATGTAAGAACTTGAACTACTCAACAAACAAAGAAAAATAAGTTACTTCTGTAAATTCACAAGGACTTACCTCTTTCTGGTGCTTAAGTGGGAAAGAAACATGATAAGTTTTCCCAGATGTGAATATAAGCAAGTACAACCCATCTGCACAGTCTCTTATAAGTGACTACATGGAGGACCGACTCAATGCAGGTGTGGTAGTAGCAACAGACAATCAAATTACACAAAAAACCTTGTTATTGATGTTGTCACTGTTTTTGTATCCATTAAGGAAAATGTATTAATATATGTAATATTCATTCCTAGAGGGGAAAAGAAATACCTGAAAATTTTGGAGGACACGTGCATTCGTAAGAATCTCCAGAAAGTTCTGATTTTTCAGTGCAGGAGCCATTGTTGTGGCAAGGTTTAGCGGAGCATATATCAAACTTCTGGCAGAATCTTCCAGAATACTGTGAGAAACAATGGCAACTGTATGCTTTTTCCCAAACGTGGCTTAGACATTTTCCATGTCCAGAGCACAACGGTGCATTCGGAGACTGCTGGCAAAACTGCTGCTTCACAGTTACGTTCAGACGAAGGCCCATGTTGCACAATAACGGGCCTCTCTTATGAAGCTCTGCAAAGTAATGAGTTCCAACATCAAGCCAGTTAGGGTCAACCTGGTGCAGCCCTCTTATCTGGCAAACAAAAATCAACTGCTCTTGAGGAAACCTGGCTTTAGGGCAGCTAATAAATTCTTCCTTGGAGACATTTACCAAGTTCATTCCATAGGACTGAAAGGACGGCTCAGAGGAGATGAAGAGGCTATCACCTAACTGAAGTTGTAAGGGACATATCTGAGGGATGCTGAGATTTTGTTCTTCTAAGATTTCCCCTGTAATGCTTTTATTCGTATTCCAGCATTCAGTGTAAAAGTCTGAGCAGATGTTTTCCCTTGGTGTCCATTTTACTATACTAGGTTTGGGTTCCACTCGCCATTCAGCAGTGATTTGCCTCTCACATATCACCTGCCCATTTACAATGCATAGCTGAAGAAGGCATGTTAACATGCAAACTGCTGATTTTGTAGTCATTGTTTCACCAGGCAAATGGTGGTTGTTTTTCACACCTGCTTCATTCCTGAGGATATCTTCAGAACACTTGTTTCTTAAAGTTCATCTGTATTTTCCATGTCAGCCTAGGAATTCAAATAAAGAAAAATATTTCTACTTTCAAACCAAATATATTTGAGTGTCAAAGCCTCATTATAAAAATAGAAAATACACAACAAAGAAAGGTCTCCATCCAATAGCACTGATGTGAAACAGACATAAGTCAAATCAATTAATCAGAACCACACAACTGTAACTAATGTTAGATTTTTTTCCTATTTCTATTCCTGCTAAAGGTTTATTTTCATTTATTACATTTCATTTTACTTAGATATGGAAGAGAAAGAGCTTAAAAGCCTAATTTCCATATTACGTCCCTCTGTTGACAAGAAATTATTATAACCAAGTTAAGATAGGACATCAATGGCAAAACTAGGAAGCAAACCAGTAAGCTCTAGTCATGAGCTTTAGCCATAGATGTTTTCATTATAATGATTTATCATTAATTTATTATAAAAATAGACATCCTGAAAATGTAGTGGTGTGAATTATCACTTTAATGAACAAAATATACAAGCACATCCTCAACACTTTGCTGTTCACATACACTCAGTAATAGACTTATTTAAATCCTCAGTTTTCAAGTATATAGTCTGAAAACAAAAAGTCCTTAATCTTATGTTTGAGGTTTTTGACGTAGCTCAGTCAAAGCCAGCAGACTACAGGGTCCCCCAGGACTATTTAATTTATGGAAAAGCCTTTTTTGCCCTTTCAATGTATCTGACAATTTTTATTGCATGGAGTTGAGGGATTACAGAACAGAAAGAAAAAAAAAAAAAAGATTATGAAGCTTATTCCTGGAGTCATACTGAAAATGAATAAAACACAATATGGTGTTTAATACCTTAGAAATTGTCAATAGAAACAGTTAGAAACAGTTTAATTGGCTTTAAATAGAATGTTTCATCTCCCTTTTAGTTCTAGAATGCCTTTTTTTCCTCAGTGTATTTATCTTCTACTTTAAGATAGTGGCCTCTAACCTGACATTTACAAACGAGAAAGCTATTGTAAAGAATAAATTGTATCTTACTACATGTGAATGCATATATTTCTACAACTACATACACCTGGTCTATCTCTAAATCGCACATGGATTATGATACCACTTTAACTACATAATTTCATCAAATGTCCTCTAGCCCCCACACACTTCAAAAATATTTTGGAGCATATTTTGGACTATGCTAAAAGATCAAAGTAGGACAGGAAAGATACTGTTTGTGGAAACCTTGAGCTGGAGATTATTAGATTCCTTAGACAAGATTTTAGGAAGAAGTCCTTCAGTATGAGGGTGATGAGACTCTGGAACAGATTGCCCAGATTGCCAGGCTCCTGCCTGGGGTTGAACCACCACAGGGTAGTATTCAGCCTCTCCTATTGTCACCTAAATTGAGATGAAAACATCTAAATTTCATTTATGTCCTATTAGTAAATTGCTGTGGATGTGAACCTGTCCCAATGACTTTTGTGCAGCAGAGTGACTAGCACTGTTTAAGCCTTTGAAAATAGCAGAAAGGTGTGAACTGTGACAAACTAGTAGTAATAACAGCAGACCTATAACATTAAATTCAGAGTGGATAGCAACTGGGTTTTTTTTATTTTCATCCCAAAATGGTTTTTGTTTCAATTTAATTACTGAATCCCAATTCTGACTTCAAACAGTTAAAGTACTCCAAAAATCTAGTGCCACAACCAGGCAAGTATGTGATTTTCTAATTCCTTTCTCTGTCTCTGTGTTTCCACCCTGGGAGATAATTCCCCTTAGAAAAAAAGGAAAGACATGGATCTGCAAGAAAACTACTCTCATTGTTACAAAATACTCATTCTCTTTCTATTTTAAGACCATTCAGTTATCTTCAGAATCTCATGATGTTCAATGGTATCATTAGATAATGTGCTATCAAATGTGTAGTTTGGATCATTTAGTATTTTTCTTTTAAGGTAAATGTGTTGAACTATTATATCCACTATAGCTGTATAGCATCTGTCATGATTATCAGATGTAAAAGTCTATTCTCTGTGTTACTGCATATTTAGAAGTCCTACATTCAGCAACTCATCTCTACAAACCTGTTTTATAATGGGATTTTCTCAGGGATTGCTAAAATAGGTATTTATAAAAGTTTCTTTTTAGACATTTTACAAAGAAAGCTATTGCAGAAGAATTCTTGCCCACTTATAATATATTTTGCCCTTCATTCATGCAATTATGCATAGCTCTGGTATCATACCCAGGCTTTGTGATGAAAATGGTACTCCCCACAGTTGATAATCTGTCTTCATAAACATCTTTATTAGTCTTCATGCAACTGAAAGATTATTATGAGAGTACTATAAGAATTAGTAATATTAAGTAATCAGCTAGGTAAACAAATACGACCTGTAAAAACAGTGGGAAAAAAAACCCCAAGAAGATAGAAATATCAACAGAAAACAAAGATTCTTTTTAACAATAAAAACAAGAGGAAAAAAAATTATATAGTGAAGAGTATGGAAAATAAAGAGCCATGCATGATATAGATTTACAATATTACCTTACATGACTTAGAAAATCAGCCAAAAAAATAAATATCTGCAAAATGTGATATCAATTGTGATACAAAATGATGTCATGAGATGAACAGAAAGTGATTATGATATCTACCTTAGGTCTGCTTTAGGCAAGGATGCAGTCTTCCTAGCTATAACTGCAGATGCTTCCAGGTAATTGATGAAGACTAAGAAAAGTCCAAGACTGGAACTTGTATAAGTAAGATACTTGAAGAAAATCTAACTCTTGAAGTTATATAAAGCTGGATGAAAAGCAGTATAATTCTCTGTTTTGCACTAAAGGAGAGCTAAATCAAGAAAGATTTATGCAGAACCCCAGGGAAGTAAATTAAAAGCAAAAATGAATCCTAAGTTATTTGCATTCCAGTCCAGTATCTTAAAGAATATGTTTTGTTCGGTTGTTTGTTTCTTTTTTTCTCTCTATTAAAAGACATTATTAAGTACTAATGACAAAAATAAAGTACATTTTGAGTGAGATTACAGAAATACCTACAGAATAAACCTGACTCTAAAAACCTCTCAGAAAAAAAGAATCTCTCAAAGATGAGAATACTAAAAAAAATGTTTAGAACCATCATGTCACCATTTTGGGGACAGAAATAAACCTCCTCTTGCCATCTCACCATGTCACATGCATGCACACACTTTACAGACTGACTGCCTGTGCTTGAGGTCAGCTCTGGTAAAATGGGTCTGAGACCTTAGAAAAAACTGCTCTCATGGGTAAAAGTGAGAAAACTTAAGGGCTGAGATAAAGACAGTTTCATAGATAAAGCAAAAGTAATGTTTTCAAGCAAAGCTAAACAAGGAATTCATTCACCACTTCCCATTGGCAGGCAGGTGCTCAGCCATCTCCAGGAAAGCAGGGTTCCATGATGTGTAGCAGTTATTTGGGAAGACAAATGACATAACTCTGAATGCCCTCCCCTTCCTTCTTCTTCCCCCATCTTTTAATTGCTGTGCATGACATATGGTATGGGAGATCTCCTTGGTCAGTTGGAGTCACTGTCCTGGCTCGGTCCCCTGCCAGATTCTTGTTTGCACTCAGCCTACTCACTGGCAGGGTGGTGTAAGAAGCTCTTGTGTTTTAACCCCAGCCAGCAATTAAGCATCACTTCACCACTTGCTCATTCCTCTCCCAGTGGGAGGGGGAGGAGAATTAAAAAAACACAAACCTAAAGTTTGTGGGTTAAGATAAGAACAGTTTAATAAATAAACTAAATTAAACACAATAATATAGCAATAATAATGGTAATAATTGTAATGAAAAGTTATATAACAAAAAGAGAGAGAAATACAACTCAAGAAAAGACAAGTAATGCCCAATATAATTCCTCACCACCTACTGACCAACGCCCGAGCAGTGAGTCACACCTCCGAGCCAACCCCCTCCAGTTTATATGATGCGCATTATGTTCTATAGTTACAGAATATCCCTTGGCTAGTTCAGATCAGCTGACCTGGCCATGGTCCCTCCCAGCTTCTTCTGCACTTCCTTAAGAGCATGGGAAACAGAAAAATCCTTCACTTAGGATAATTGCTACTTAGCAACAACTGAAATGTCAGTGTGTTATCAATGTTATTCTCACACTAAATCCAAAACACAGCACTGTACCAACAACTAGAAAGAAAATTTACTATCCCAGCTGAAACTAGAACCAAAGAAGAAAAGGCATTGACTCTGTGTCGGCAGTGCTCAATAACTAAACCATTCCTGTATTATCAACATTATTTTCAGCACAAACCCAGAAGTCAGCCTCCTACAATTTACTGCAAAGATAATTAGCTCTATCCCAGGCAAAACCAGCAGACCAGTCAACATAAAATTCTGTTCAGTGATTCTCACATTGAGGAAAAAAAACAAACAATTAAACAAATACACACATAAACAGCTATTGCCTCCACACCCATATGTCTTTTTGGAGTCTGTCCCATTTCCTTCAGGGTGGTTGTAGGATGCTGGGATGTTGTATGTAGCATTTTTTTCTGCTTCCTTGTGCTTAATGGATTCCTAGTGCTCAGTTTGTTAATGTTGGTATGGGTTACCTGTGACTGCAGTCTCTGAGGATACGCATACCCCTGTGGCATGGCATGCCTCCCCCAATACATCTCCAGACCCTAGTAGCTACCAGTGCCTCCTGTACATATGCCTGAGCAGGGCTGTGAGTTCCTCTGGCTTGGTGATTGTTTGGTGCAGGTGTGTTTACCCATAACTCTTCATGTTAGTCCCAGAGCCCTTGGGAACCATCCATGAGGAGCAGAAGGTGGTTCATGGCCTGATCCCACTACAGCTCTGCTACTCAAACTGAGTCGTATGTTACACCCTATGCAGCTCTTGTTTATTTCACTCACAGGTTTGTGTACTCAATATG